CCTTGCAAAGGAGAAAGAGCATGAAAAATGTATCGAGTCCTGAGGACTGTCCTACTGAAAATGGCCATGGATTCATCTAGAACAGAATCTGGAAGAACTGTCTTTTTTAAAAACTGAAAAATGTATTTTTGCCTTCAAGCAAAATGACTTTTCCTTGAGGTTAACGTAAATCCTGCACTTTCTGCATCAACACGTTTTTAGCTACCAGAAAGTGACCCACAAGCAGCAGCTCTGCTCATAAAAACACAAACCATCCTTGGCCGTTGGCTATGGCTGAATGTGGCAGTTTCTAACAGATTGATACCTCAACACCACAGACCGACGTAAACGCATTAAAATGATGCTATTTGGCAGCTAACGGGTAAATGACCATAGCAGATTTAATACCAGCGTTGCACTGGAGCTAAGATCTCAACGCTTTAGAGTAGATTTATGGCATCAGAATCCGGTTTTGTAAGCCAGACAGGAACAAATAGTTATTTCCAGGCTTTCACATCCACACATATCGTTGCTTGTTTTAGAGCTGTACTCCCATCTTGCTGCTTTTTCCTTTAACCTGACTGAACTTTTCTATATACAAGAAATGCATGTATTCCAATTTGTACCTAATGCCATACTCCAAACTACTGCCTGAATCCCTCTAGAAAGTAGCCTTGTATATGTGTAGAAGAAGGGATGGAGACAGGGTTACTTGAGGACCACTGCAAACATCAGCAAGTCCTTCAACCTGGGAGTTTGTATACATGCGGTTACTTCTCTCACATTGTTTAACATGGACGATTTGATATCAATTTTAAATCAGCATTGAAGAAAAAGGCTAGATTTTCTGAAGAGGAAGCAAATCCTTAGTTACGCATGCAAAGTTTTGTTGAAAATGTCCCTCTCTTAACAACTTAACCAAAGGATTCTCACTGTGCCCAAGACTGAAGCCTCACAAACTGTTTAACTCCAGCATAGGAAGACTATAGCTTTTACACGAACTTAAGGAAGGCAAGTCAAAGTCAAGGTAAGATTTATGCCAACGGGGAAATAAACCCTCATCTCTCTCTGTTTAAACCCCACCATATGCACTTAGCTCGTGTTTTTGGTAGTTCTGTGTCAAGAGTTGGATTCGCCTCCATACAAGGGCACTCTCCAAACAGGCTTCAGTTTCCCAAGTGCTGCTCAGCATGAGAGGGGACAAGACGGAGCTCAATCTAAACTCGAGCGCTCTTGGTAGGCTATTAATAGGGGAAAAAATGAGTGGTGTGAATCATCACACGGACGCTGCAGAGCAACCGCTTCTTATTTTCTATTATAGCAAGACACAGAAATTACCTTTACACAAAAAGGAACTGCTGGAGTTAGAGGGCTCCAGCAGGAGGAAGTCAATGGTCCAGCCAAATTTTTGCTAGAGATACCATTTTTAGGAAAACTTTCATCTGAACGCTGCCCTCGAGATGCACAGTGCTAACTCAATGCTGGCAGTTCAGTGCTCTGCTGCTTATTTATTTTTGAAAAATATGATATTGTCAACAGTTCAGTGAGGTTGTCTCCAGACTGTTATGTCTCCCTCTCAAGTTTCTTTCATTTTTAAGAGCTTAACTTTTAGGCTTCTGGCGTGAAAGAGCCCAAAACGGTTTAAGAAAAGGCAGCATAAACAACGGATGAGCTCCACACAGCACTGGGGAGAAGAACAGTATGTCCTCAAGCTATATAATCAATGCAAATATCTAGTTGCAAAAACACCCTGATAAGGAGCTCCACTATTTTCAAATCTATTTTCCCAATGAGATTAAGGAGGTCCCAGAAGAACTAAATATCACGAAGGGGAAAGGAAACAGTATCTAAAACACTGACATTTTTCAAACAGTGTCTTTCATAAACAGAAATTAGGTTCTATAATCACAGTTCAATTAAGGTGTCCGTCATGATCAAGAGGGCAACTAAGGGCTAGTGAAAACCTTAACTTGAACTAGGACTGATGGCATCAGTCGCTGTTCATCTATTTTATTTTTTTAATCATAGATGAACTTTTTCCCTAAGCAAAGAGTTGCATTGGAGAAGTTTCAAACTGAGTTTTAATAGAAATGAAGCTTTTAATAGAAATGAACATTTATCTAGACGTAAATGCTCTCCTCATCTTGAATTGACAAAACTAGAGCCAGTAATCAGCTATTTTCTCCTTTAATAGTTGCGGGTTTAGACTCCAAGCACTAATTAACATGGAAGGTATCAGAACTTTGTAAGACACATATTACTATTGCTTCTTAGGTCTTTATTTTACTATTCTGGATAGTTACTATTCATTCACAACAGTAATACTTTCAAAAATATATAACTAACTGTAGTTTTTACCTTAAAGATGCTCATGGAGTTTATTTCATTTTTAACGTAGATCTCTAATGTCATCTTGGAAGAGAAGCCAGGAAAAGCTTTGGCTGGAGAACACTACTTCAATAAATAGAGGAAAGCAAAGCAGCAGCGCGGCCCGTGGCACAGAGCTCCGCGCTGCAACGTACCTGCAGCCCAGCGGCGTCTGCCCTCCTGGTCCCGCTTGCTGCTCCTCTGGCCAGGCCGCTCGGTTGTGCCCCTGCTGCAGAAGGGAACGGGCAGCCGGACACCTGCAAAAACCAGGAACCAGCTGTGCTAAACCAGGCACCATCCGTGACAAACGAGACCAAACTTCAAGTGTTCCAAGTCCTCACTTTCATCTGGAATTTTTATTTTGAGGCATTTATCTTGAAGTAGTCTAAGTGTCCTGCAGATGAAGATGTCTTCCCGTACCTTAAGAGAAAGTTCAAGCCAAACTGAGGCGACATTTAAGTAATTTAATATGGTCCTATATTCTAGCATGTATGCTAATCTAATTCTAATCTTATATTAAGGACCGGGACAACCCAAGCTAAAAAGATGTCTTAAATACATACATCTAATCTAGGGAATTCTTAATAATACCATTTAAAACCCTTTCAGTGCAGATACTATAAAGTGTGCTAGATTTCATTAAAAAATTGGGATTTGTATGTAACGTATGTATATAACGTAATTTTTCTCATCCATCGCACAAAAACCTCCCCAAACCACTTCCTTTAACATGTGAAAAACCACAGCAGCAGAAATAAGTGTTAAATTAATCCTTCTCGCAGTAGCCACACTCATGAAAACATAACACACATTTTGCTTTCTGTAATTTTTATTTAATCTATAATTAAGAAGAAAACATGGCAACATTGGCAAATTGAAGGCATACATACTAAATACTCATACAGAATACATTATGGAGAAAGCAAATGCCCAGATCTGTAGTGGTCCTTGCAAACTAAAAGCATATTGGTCCTCCAAAAGGTTTAGCTTAAGAACACCTTAGCCGACCTTTTAAGCTCCAATGAAGGCGGCACCTTTCAAACCAGGAACAGGGTGAACTCTAAAGTTGAACACTTTCGAATTTTCAAATTCAAATTCAAAACAGTTTTCTCTGATTTCACATTTTCTCAGATACAACCAGAAGCAAATGTTTTTTCCTCAATTTTAATGTATAAGCTGTTAGATCACCCTAAGTATTCAAGACTCAAACGCTTCTTGAAGCATTTTTAGCTTTATTAAGGACCTACATACACACACGTTTATTTTTATTTAAACATGTGCATGCGTGTGCGTATAAACTATTTGAAGGGGTTCTATAAGAAAGGAAAAGTGCTTTTTGTGTAGAAGAGGAGTTATTAGATCCATACAAATGCTGTTAGATGAGTCTAACAGTCATGTTTCAAATGAGTATAAAACCAAAACAAACCAGAAAAGCTGGATAAATGGGAAGAGCCATGGAAAATGAGCTTTAAATGAGCTATTTCAGAAGATCTTATTACAGGCTATAGTGTCATTTCAAACAAAGTTAGTCCTTATCCAATGTCGTGCTGTGATGCTAGAGTGAGAGAGACATCCAGAAAATTCTGCTCTCTCACGAAGGTCCAAAATTCCCCCCACGGTTTGGTCGGTTCTGCCTCGCACCTGAACTGGAAGCACCCTCGTCCAAGGGTGCCCATTAATGCCCTTCTGACGGTGACGTGGAGTCACCCAACGGCGAGTGGCATCGCGGGTCTGTCCCAGACACACGGGGCAGCTCTGCATCAGCACCGACCTGGAGCGAACTGACGGTCCAGAGGCTGCTCTCCAGTATTCTGCTTAGTAGGTTTATACTTTCTTTCCATTAGATGACATAAAAACCTTCAGATGATAAATACAAAAGTGCTACTTAAAAATAGTAAAACTGACTTTACATGTAAAAAACAAAAGATTCTAACAAACTGAAATGTTGTAAGTTACCTAAATCTATTACTCGAGCGTATTAGGTATTCTTGTGCCCTCTTTACTGAGCTGATTCCCAAGTAATCATCCTAGCTGAACATATGCAACAACTGGAAACCAGTAAAAGCCTTCAGAGAAATTTCAACAATGAGACAGAACCTTTTTCTCTCCTTTTGTTGAAATAAAATTCAGGAAAAAATATCAACTATTCCACTATTGCAAACGCAGTCCCCTGTTAAAACAAGTCTGTGATCTCCATGTTCCATGAACTGTGGAACCAAGACTGCCAGTGGCTCCTTTGCAGCAGGAAATGTCCGCTGGGCTTTCAAACTACCATATAAATACACTACTTACATGCAACTAAAATAATACAGATTATTAGAATGAAAACGCACATAGTACATTGCTATGCTGGGGTAGAGTAAGTTTAAAAGCTCAGCTTCCCCAAACAACTTGTCCATACTCTAGAACTCTATGCAAAATACAAAAGCCTTAGAAAAGTGCAACAAAACTAGCTTCATGACATTTTTTCTTAGAGTTTTCATAAATACAATCTCTTAAAAACATTATTAAACAGAAGCCTACTTCCCAGTGGAGAATGGATGTGCCACGTTTCAGCTTTGAGTTAAGTGATTTTGGCTACACTGAATCCTCCTGAAAATAGAGGATTAAAACAAAAACAACCTTAATCACATCAGGCTGCTGTTACATCCCACGAGAAATCTACCCTAGTGTTTTGCTTACACAAGTCTTGCTGGAAGTGAGGGGAATTTTATGTGCAACTGTGTGGCAGGCACTGGCCTCGGGGCAAAGACTACGCCGAGCAAAAGATAAATATCAGCTGGAAAAGAGTCATCTGTTATTCATAGTTATTACTAAATTCTCAGTGTGGGGAAATAATTTCTATTAATGAGAGCAGAGCTACTTAACTTACAGAGGCCAGGACAGAGGCCTTGTCAAGATGAGTTCAAAGGGTTCTATCCTAAAAAGCTGTCAAGCACAAATATATAGGGGAGAAAAAAAAAAAAAAAAGACATTCAAATTGACACTCAGGAAATCAGAACTATAAAAAACTTGATCTTTTAAGTTATTTACCATTAATTATCAAAAACATACTTGCTGCCTATTCCAGATGCTTAGCATACTGACTTGACAAGGACAAAGTGCAGTTAATCATCAATACTGAAATCAAAGGGAAGATAATAGGGAAAATTTACATGAAAGGACAATTGGA